AGGAGCAAAATACTTATTTGGAAATTATGCATTGTGAAGTTCTAATAACGTAGAATAAAAATGTATTAATGCTGCCCTGCCTACCACATAGTGGGATCCAATTCCTTTTGCACAAAGGCTCCTATTTTGTCCAGTTTTCTGTGTTTCACAGCCAGAAAGCTGAAGTGGATGAGATGGGAGGGGTCTGCCTCACATTAAGACACCAATAGCAGTACTAGCTCACATGCTAATGATCAGCTTTTCTGCCCTATTAGCATCAAGTAAGTTTCTGTACAGCATTTCCCTGACTCAGGATTTTTTCAAAGATGATAACTGGAAAGAGAAATCCACTCTTTCATTACAGGTGGCAATTAAAGATTAGTTTTCAAGTTACTCTTAACACTACATACACAATAATCCACAAATTCCAAGATAAAAGAACGTTTGTAATAGCCAATCAGATCAAAACATATTTCACATATTTCTCCAAGCTGAGAAAGCTGAGGGAAAAAAAAAATTTGGAAAACAAGGATGAACAGAAGTAGTAAGTTCTCCATTTTCCGAACAGAACAAACCGTAGACACAGTCAGGCCTTCATTTCAAGACCAAGTGCCATCTCAGCAGCAGCCCCAGAACAGCCATCCTCACCTGCATCCACCTAACGCTCCTGGTGATTACGATAGCTCAATTTATTGCTGGAGAGAAGTGGATAAGCAGTAAATATAATAAATGGTTTATTTTGTGACAACTAGACTTGAAAATGAGGGTGGAAAGGTATGCAGTCAAAATGATGGTGCAACCAAGTGACACTGGGAAGCAGAGCTTTAGTGTAACAAAATTGGAAGAAAATTCTGGGCTACAAACTTTGACTTTCCTATCACAATTCTAGCTTCCAGTAAACTGATTACCTACAAATAAAAGGCTGATGTAAGTTCGCTCCTGAACACATTTTTATTGCTCACTGAAGTATTTCCTTCCCTTTCATCTCCAGGAGCCAGGGAACAAGAAGACCCTGAAGGCCATAAATGCTTGACTTGAAATATCTGACCTCCTGCCTAAACATATTTAAAATCATAGTACTTGCCAGAGTGTGCATCACCTGTGCAAGTTTCATCACCCGTCATAAAATGGCTTGGCTGGAATAACTACATAGCTTACTCATGGCAGCTCCTTGACTAGAGATGAGCAGAAACATGCCCCTCGGAAACAAGGCACTGGGAAAGAAAGCAGTGATACTCAAAACAGGAGAAATAGAGACTGAGAGAACACTACCTTTTCCTAGTGCCAGACAGGTTTTTACGCCCCTTTGCTACAACTTCTTGGAAACTCATCATATAGTAAAGGCAGTCACTCATCATTGTTCATTGCCTCACACCAAATTCCTGATATTCCCCAAAGCTTGACTGTCCCAAGAAAAAGTTCTTGACAAGGTTCACTTCTTCACTTGTTAAGTTTGACACAAACCAGAAGGAAACACACTCTCACAAACAACGGAAAGGCATGTTAAGAAATAGCTCCATGTTAATGGAAACAGCAACAAAACTCAAGCAACTGACAGCAGATGCGTCAGAACGAGACTCCACCCGAAAATCAGAGTCGGTTTGAACAGAACTGGAAGCATGCAGTAGGGACAGCAAGTCACCGAGAGGGACGCGGAGCACTGCCTCACCTTCCTCTTGTCCAATGAGGGTATGGCTACCCCATTGGAGCGGTTAAGGTCTGACACCAGCACCTTCAGAATGTTCTGAATCTAAAGGAGGCGAAAGAAAAGTGGAAAGAGAAATGGCTCAGAAAAGGACAGAGAGAAAATACCAATCAAAGGTAGCCACAGAAGCTGGCACCCTCCAGCTCGTTAGGAGGATACGCCTCAAAACAACAGCTCTGGACATACCCAGGGTTGCACTGTACCCCTGTACGATCAAACACTGCTTCGCCATAAACCCTGACGCTAGCGTGCGCCTTCAAGGGATTTTAGTCGCTAACCATTGTAGCTCACTTCATAAACTGGTAATACCAGCATCTCAGCCATTCATATGTTACACCGGCAAAACCCTCCTCCTCCTCCTGTAGTCAGGTCGTATGGGAAACCAAAGAACAACAAGGTGGCAAATGATTTGGGAGAAAGAATGGAATACTTACGTTCTCTGGAGACTGTTGGTCATCATTTGTGGGAGTCTCAGGTCTACTTCCTTCTTTAGTTTTTCTTTTTTTCTTGGCTCCCGCAGTTGCTCCAGGGCTATTCTTCTGCTGATATGCCTTCAGCTGTGGGGGGGGGGGGGGGGGAAAAAAAGAAGAATCTGAAGTCCACAAATGGAACGTGCCTTCTACAGCTACAAGGTCAACAAATAATGAAAAGAATAAAAAGATCACGGGGTAAAAAGGGAGATCAGGCATAGAGACATGAGCAACTGTCTTTGAAGAGTTTCTCTGAAAAAAGTTAGAACAAGTCGAGAAGGCTAAATTGAGAGCTGGTGCGATGGGTTTGGGGCCAGAGACTCAGGGTTGCAAACGCGCAGCTTTGCTATGCAACCAATGAAATTTGGCTATGGGAAGGAAAGAACGTGCCATCCTTTACTGCAACTGAAAGGAAATAAATAACTTTGATGACTTTTAGGGTTATAACCAAGAGCAATAAGGTGAAATTAATAAAAGGCAATTAATCCTGAATAGTAAGTGAAAAAGCAGCGCCTGAGAGCAAGCTCTGCCCTTCTGCCAAAGAGTTTGAGAAGGAAAAGGACAGGCCTCCCCGACAGACAACACGCCGACACAGACGCTGCAGCTCCGAACTGGGGGGACAAACGACATCATGGAGCAAACCAACGGCTCCGTTTATAAAAACGGGCTTGACTGTGCTCTCCGCGGCCGGATTTAAAACAGTTTCCATTTTCCCTAGGAAAAGCTAGACAGGTGAGCCCTAAACTGCACCTTTCTAAGCCTTTCCCTCAGTCTTTCAGTGCCGGTGTCTTTCAGACAGCGAAACCCCCGGCGGGAGCGAGCCCCCAGCACTCACGCAAACCACCCGCTTCTCCCCAGGGCG